GGCCACGCGGCCGCCGGGCGGCGCGACGGCGGCTACCGGCCGGCATAGCCCTTCCAGCGCCGGCCGGGGGCTGCGGCGGCGCGCGGCGCGCGGCGGGCAAGCTGCCTGCTGGCGGGCGGCGCTTCTAGTCGTGATTTTAGTGCCGCGTAGGTCGCCCTTCGGCCACTTCTCGGGCGTGCGGCCGCAGCGCGGCGAGAAGGCGGCACGCTCGGCCCGCTGGCGGAGGTGAAGCCCCCCAGAGCGGGAGCTGGCGGGCCGGGGGCGTCGGGCGGGTGCGCGGCGGCACCCGTGCCACCGGGACGGGCCGTGGTGGCCCGTATGGCGGCCGTGAAGGGCCGTTTGGTGCGCCCCGGCGGCCTCCTGCACGGCGGCCGCCGGGGCCGGTTTGGACTGTGTTGGGGGGGGTGGAGTGGTCCGGTGGCCGGTGTGATGGTCGTTTATCACCCTCCTATCACCCACTTACCGCCCCCGGCCGTGGGGGCCTCTCCAGACGCCGCCATTTATGATTTCAAAGGGTCCTGCCGACGCTCATCACAGTGCGGCGGAGGGGCCGGAGCCGGCGCCGCGGAGGACGAGGATGGCCGTGACGGACCGGGACGAGCTCTGGGAGGTTCAGTGTCAGTGAGTATATTGTAGAGACCACCCATGTGCACAATATCTTGACTGAGAGCTAATTCTGGGGAGGCGATGCCGGGGCCGTACAGCAGCTTGATGGTGCTGCGCCGGCGTGCGTCCCGCCGGCCGCCGGGGCCGGTTTGGACTGTGTTTGGGGGGGTGGAGGGGTCCGGTGGCCGGTGTGATGGTCGTTTATGGCCCTCCTATCACCCACTTACCACCCCCGGCCGTGTGGGCCTCACCGGACGCCGCCATTCATGATTTCAAAGGGTCCTGCCGTCGCTCAGTCCGAATCACAGTGGGGCGGAGCCTACCCTGTAGAGGGGCGTCATGTCGTCATGGGGCGCGACGTGCCGACTACGGTTTTGATTCATGTGGGTCTCTGTATTTTGTTTGAACTTCACCGTACGCGATATTCGTTTCCAGCAGATCAGTGTGTGGGTCCCAGCGCAGTCCCAGCGCGCGCATCTAGACTCCCACTGCGCGCATGCTCGGCTCCCTCCCTCGACTCTCTCGCTCCATCATGCGCGCCATGTTTCGCGCGTTTGCCGTCGCGGCTCTCTCGCGACTCGCGTGTATGTGCGTCAATGAAAAGTCGTCATGCCATGCGCGGAGGTGGTTCGCGCGGCTGTCTCATGCCAGCATGTTGCAGATCCGCTTCGCCGCCGCGGGCAGCCGGCTGCATCCGAGCACCCACGAGAGAGCGTCGCGAGCGATCGAGTCCTTGACCGTGTCCGGGAGCGAGGCCAGGATGCCAAAGAAAGCATCTTCCTCCTCGCGCGGCAGCTGCGACTCGGGGAAATTGTTGGCCTCCACCCAGCGGCGCAGTAGGAGGACCGTCAGCTCGTGGTAGTCTGGCGCCCCCATCTCGTAGTACTGGTCGTCGTTCTGCGCGTACTGCTGCTCCTCTTCAACCGTGATGGCAATGAGCTCGGCTAGCGCACGAGCGTTGACAACCTCGCAGAGCGTCGCAGCAGGGGTGTTGTAGCCAAAGTTGCACTGCCCGAGGCAAAAGTAGGGGTGCTCGTCATCCATCTCGCAAAAGAAGAGCTCGAAGAAGAAGAACATGTTGCCAGGCTCGCTCAGCGGCTTGAAGGAGCTGGCCGCGCACATGATCTGATCAAACGGCAGCCGCTGGAGAAGGCTGAACACGACCATCACCTCGGAGACGTCCTCACCTGTCATCACCTCGACCGCCTTCTCGAGCAGCTGCGTGAGCATCGGGCCATCCCACAGGGTGCGGTGCAGGTTGTGGCCGAGAGCGAAGCCAACGAGTGCAGCCGGCTCCTCACAGCTGTAGTACGATCCGTCCTCATTGAGGACCCGCTCTTCCCAGCCTTGCAGGATGTCCATGCACACGCCCATCAGCGCGGAGGGCAGCAGCCGCATGGTCGTCGCAATGACGAGAGCACTCTCATTGCCGATGCGATAGCGGGAAGAGGTCGGACCACCATCGATCAGCCAACGCTCGCGGACCACCAAACGCTCCTTCGCGCACTCCAGCCGCGCGATGGCGTCCGACGCGTTGATGCCGTCGATCTTGAGGAGTGCGCGCAATGCTGAGTACCGATGTGAAGCCGCCTCTTGCTGCTGCAGCTCAGCGAAGCGCTCCTCGTCTCGAAAGTGGCGCAGGCCGATGTGCGTGAGTTCATGGCTGCGATCGACCCGGAGGCCCAGCGTGCTGGACGCAGCCTCCATGTCTTCGAAGCTGCGGGCGCTCTTCAGCGCAACGCACATCTCATCGTGCTTCTGCCAGAAGTCGCGGCGCGCGGGCGCAACGGCGAGTGCCCAGTGAGCATTCGTGAGTGCCAAGCGGGCGAGGTCGCGGGCGGTGGAGTGCTCCCACACGAACTGCAGCAGCTCGGGCGGCAGCGAAGCGAGGCCTGCGGCGTCCGCTTCGCGCCGAGCCTTGCTGCCCCGCGTCTCAACTTCCCAGGCCGTCTCGTCTGGGCGCTCGCGACGAGACTCGAGCTTGTCCATCTCGTCGCGCACCCACGCCTCGACGGCCTCACCTCGGGCGGGCATCGGCGAGCAGAGCGGCCGCAGCACGGGTGGCTTGAGAGGTCGACAAAGGAGAGGTCGACGAGTGTCCACCCATCGGGCCACAAAGAAATAAATCCGAGATCACTCATTCCGCAAGTACTGTGATCCCAGTCAGCCTTTGCGCCATGGGCGGCCAGCTGTCTCTGTCTGCCGCCGCCTCGAGTGAGCCTAGCGACCGAGATCTCAAGCGAAAAACAAACTGCTCGCCGAATTTTTTTCTCGTTTTGACCGGCCTGAAGCCTTGCGAGTACTCGAGTAGAGACCACACCTGCTATTCACATAAACGCACAACCCCGGGCCCGAAATCGCACAGAGACAGTCATGCAACACGGGGTATTCACACAAAAAGACAACCACGGACCCAAGACGCACAAGCTCAGACAGTCGAGAAAGGGATAGACAGCAACGACAGGTATTCACGGGGTATTCACAGCACACAAGCCCCCCGGCTCGAGCATGCGCAGCGAAAAGCAGTGAGGCGTGATCTCTACTCGCCAGGGCCTGAAGCCCTCGCAGATACGACGCTGATGCTGTCGATGTATGCGCGTTCCCTCTCGCGAGCCTCAGCGCGAAGCGCTAGATCGCCGCCGCTCCTAGCCCTGGCAGCTCGCACCGCGCGGTCCGTGCCGGCCGTGGCGGCGCAGCGCCGGCTGCTCTGCGACGCCAGCGGCGGGCCCAGCTCAGGCGTCGTGACAGCTCTGGACATCCTGCGGTCCGTGTCGGGCGCTCGCTACACGATGGACGACCCGCTGCGCGCGTCCATCGGCGAGGGCGAGCCCATTTCTGCGGCCATTCACCGCATGGTGAGACCGTGGATCTCTCTGGCGCGAGATGCGGCCGAGATGGAACCGACCGCTCCGCGTGCCACCAGGTGGACGAGAAGATCGGCAGCTTCGTCGTGCGCGACGCGCACGACCGTGTCGCTGGCTTCCTCACGCCGCGGGACTGCCTGCGCTGCATCGCCAGGCAAGGCCCAACCCGACCACCCTCACGGCGGCCTCCTGCTGACACTCCGGTGGGCCGCGGTGCAGGCACGGCGACAAGAGCCGGCCCGGCGCGACGCCGGAGGGGTGGAACGTTCCCGTCTCTTCGGTGATGACGCCGGCGAAGGACCTCGTCTACCTCTCCCCGAGCGACACGCTCGACGAAGTTCGCTCGCTGATGGCGCTCTCTGGCCGGCGGCACATTCCGGTGCTCGCCGGCTCGACGCTGCTCGGCATCCTCAACCCGAAGGACATTGCAAAGTACATTCACCTGCAGCGAAATGCGAGCACCTCGGCCAAGTCCGACTTTGTGCAGACCGTGATGCCGCGCAAGGGCGTCCCGATCGGCACCAAGCTGACGCGCGGCAGCGGGCTCGCGGGCCGAGGCGGCGCTGCTGCAGGAACCTTCTTGGAACCTTCTTGGAACCGTCCTGTAGGCAGCGGGCTCGCGGCCGAGGCGGCGCTGCAGCTCTACTCGGCGGTCGCGCTGCTGCCCCACCCGGCCAAGACAGAGAGCGGTGGCGAGGACGCTTTCCTCCTCGGGCCGCACATGATTGGAGTCGCCGACTCTACAGGAAGGTTCCAAGAAGGTTCCAAGAAGGCTCCTGTAGGCCGCACATGATTGGGGTCGCCGACGGGGTCGGCTCCTGGTGGGAGGGCGGCATCGACCCCGCCGCCTATGCGCGCGGTCTGATGTTTGCGTCGCGAAACTCGTGCGCCTCGCTCCAGCGGGAGGAGGGGCTCCTGGCCAGTCGACGTGAGCACGGCAGCACATGCGGTCCTGTACCACAGGTGCACCAAGCTCAAGCGCGAAGAGGAGCTGGACCCAGCCAAGGTCCTCCTCGACGCGTGGCACAAGATGCAACTCTCGCGCCTCATCGGCCCCTCTCCAATGCCGCCGCCCTCGCCTCCCCCTCCCCCCAGAGCCTTCCCAAGAGCCTTCGGAGCCTCCCCTCCTAGGCTCCTCCACCGCCTGCCTCGTCTCACTCGACCCGCACAAGACAGAGCTCCGCGCGGCAAACATCGGCGACTCTGGCTTCCTTCTGCTGCGCCGGCAGGTGCCTCGCACACACCCGCCACACGCCCCGCTCTCCTCTCTCTCTCTCTCTCTCTCTCTCTCGCTGCTGCGCCTCGGCTCGAGACCGATGGTGCCGAGGCACCTCGGAGAGTCTCGGGCGACCCTTCGGGCACGCGTCTCGCCAGGCGGGGTCGAGCTCGATGGTCGAGCCACATATCTCCCCATATCTCCCCATATCTCGCCAGGCGGGGTCGAGCTCGATGGTCGAGCCACATATCTCCCCATATCTCCCCATATCTCGCCAGGCGGGGTCGAGCTCGATGGTCGAGCCACATATCTCCCCATATCTCCCCATATCTCGCCAGGCGGGGTCGAGCTCGATGGTCGAGCCACATATCTCCCCATATCTCCCCATATCTCGCCAGGCGGGGTCGAGCTCGATGGTCGAGCCACATATCTCCCCATATCTCCCCATATCTCGCCAGGCGGGGTCGAGCTCGATGGTCGAGCCACATATCTCCCCATATCTCCCCATATCTCGCCAGGCGGGGTCGAGCTCGATGGTCGAGCCACATATCTCCCCATATCTCCCCATATCTCGCCAGGCGGGGTCGAGCTCGATGGTCGAGCCACATATCTCCCCATATCTCCCCATATCTCGCCAGGCGGGGTCGAGCTCGATGGTCGAGCCCGCCCTCGGCACTCTCGACTCCGCCGCCGGCATCGGAGCCGCCGGCCGGAAGCTGCACATTGCCTTCCGGTCGCCGCAGCAGCTCCGCGCCTTCAACACGCCGTACCAGCTCGGCAGGGCGAGAGGGAGCCGAGATGCAGCCGAGATACCAGCTCGGGGAGGGCGAGAGACCTCTGCCGACGGACCGCGGCGTGCGCTTCGCCGGACCACCTTCTCGGAACCTTCTCGGAACCTTCTCGGAGCCTCCCCCCAGGCGCCCGACTCTGGGGACGCGCCGGACGACCGCTTCGAGACGCCGCAGGACAGTCGCTTGCGCGGGCCAGGGCACGTCAGACCTCGAGGATGCCTGAGGTGACGCGTGAGGAGTCCGATGACTGCCTCGCAGGACGCCTCCCTGGTGCGTGTGCCCGTGCGGCCGGGCGACATCCTCGTGCTCGCGACCGACGGCCTCTTCGACAACGTGGACGAGGAGGCGCTGCTCGACACGATAGAGGACCTGATAGAGGGGTCGGGCACGGGCGCGTCGCCGCAGCAGCTGGCGGATGCCATCGCGGCGCGTGCCGCGGGTCTGTCGCTGCCACTCTAGAGCCCTCCTCCCCCTTGAGCCTTCTCGGCGCCTCTCCGCAGGCGCGCGCCAAGGAGCTCTCCCTCGACAAGAGCGTCGACTCGCCCTTTGCGATCCTCGCAAAGGATAACGACATCCTCTGGGGCGGAGGCCGGCCAGACGACATCACGGTGCTCGTCTCGCATATCCTGGACCTAACCCTCACCCTCACCCTCACCCTAACCCGAACCCGAACCCTAGGTGCTCGTCTCGCATATCCTGGACCTAACCCTAACCCGAACCCGAACCCTAACCCTAACCCTAACCCGAACCCTAGGTGCTCGTCTCGCATATCCTGGACCGCGCGGACGCGCGCGCGCCGCCGACGGATTGGGCCGCCGTCTCTGGGCCGGGCGAGCCGCCGCCAGAGCTGCTGGAGGCTGAGGCGCTGCTGGCGGCGGAGAGGCTGGCGGCGGAGGCGCGGACGGCGAGCGGGCTCGGGGCGGAGAGGGGGGAGGAGGAGGAGGTGGAGAGGCTCGAGGAGGAGGCGCGCGTCGGAGCCTCGCGCTGAGGAGACGGTGGCGGGGAGAGCTCTCGCCGCTCTCGTGTTCCCGCGGTCGGGGCGGCATCGTGTGGCCCTCGCATGTCGCAGCCTTTCACTCCGCCTCTCGCTCGACGCTCGGTCCTCGGACAGGGTCACATTGTGCGAAGTACCGCTCTGTAACGTGTGTAAGAGACTGTGTCACGCATGCATGCATGGACGGAAGGCACATGGAGAGGTTGTTTTTTGAGATCTATCTCTCAAAAGAAAAAGCGGTCCGCGCGCGCGCGGGGATGAGAGGGGTGTACTGAAACGTTGGGGGTCTCTGCGCGAGACTCGACTGCGCCGCGCCGTGCGCGTTTCCTCCCCCAACATATACTTTTTCCCCCTCTCGCATGACGACTCATCCGACATCCCTGCTTTATTACTCGGGGGGGATCCCCGCCGCCACCCCCGTCCCCTCCGCCGCGCTGCTGTGGCCGCCCCCGGCGGCCTCTCCCTCCCCCGCCTGCGTCTCGTCTCTGACTCGGACTTCGAACTCGACGCCAAAGTTGCTCGCGTCGAGAAGCACCTTGACCTCGTCCGTGCCGCGGCGCCCGGCAAAGATCGAGAGGCCCAGTGAGAGCCCCGCAGCAACCTCGCCGCCGGCTCCCACCATCCGATACCCCTCTGGGTCCTCCCATCCTCCGGCCACCGCCGCCCTCATCCCGACGCCAGATTTGACACCGAGCACACCTTCGATGTGACCGGTGCGGACAGAGACGCCGACCAACCGCACCACCTCTGCGACGATCGCGTTGGACCGCTCGACGACGGGGTTGAGCAGACTGTCGGCGAGGCCGTCGGTGGCACGCAAGTTTCGCAGAAACTCGTCGAGCGACTTGCCCGTAGCAGAGAAGCACTGTTCCACCTCGGCGCCAAACTCAATGGACAGCGCCTCGCGTACGTCTCCAATCCCGGCGTTCGCCTTGAAATTTCCGACACGAACGCCAAAATCCATTTTTGGCTTGACGGCGAGACCCGACGAGCCGACGGAGAGCGGGCCAACCTCGACGCTCCAGACCATAGCAGACGATGTGGGGCTCGAGACGACGACCCGGACGATGTGGGGCAATTTTGGGGTTGACAACAGGCCGCCACAGCCCGAACAGGAGCGTACAGGTCTTGGACACAGCACCGATGCCGACTTCAAGGAATCCTAGTGTTTGTGGGGAGGGTCGGGAGAGAGAGAGAGAGAGAGAGAGAGAGAGAGAGAGAGAGAGAGAGAGAGAGAGAGAGAGAGAGAGAGACTTCTCTCTCTCTCGGGAGGGTCGGCGAGCACGACTCACAGGCGGCGCCGCAGGGCCGGGGCACTGGCCACGGCCTCGCCGACCACTAGAAGGCGGCCCACCCACTACGCGCACTAACTTAGTGCGCGGGGTGGCGGGAGGCACCCAGGCACCGCCCGCCCGCTCGCTGGCGGCCCACTCACTACGCGCACTAACTTAGTGCGGGGTGGCGGGAGGCACTCACCCACTAGCCCGCTCGCCGGCGGCCCACTCACTACGCGCACTAACTTAGTGCGCGGGGTGGTGGGAGGCACTCACCCACTAGCCCGCTCGCCGGCGGCCCACTCACTTCCGCACAGGACTAAGTTAGTGCGCGTATAGTAGCCGATCTCGCCTCCGTCCGCCGGCGAAGGGCACTACGTCTACGAGCGGCACACCGGACCACTCCCCTCGCGACCGGCGGGAGGCACTCACTTCCGCGCACTAAGTTAGTGTGCGTAGTGTCCCGGCCTCCGACCACGACTCCCGGGAGCACTTGACCGGCCTCGGCGCACCACTAGCCCTCGTCCAGCTCACAGACTAACTTGCGTCGACTTAGTTCCCCGCAGGGCCCGGGACCACTCACTCACTACATCATCGGTGCTCTTCACACGAGTTAGTGACGCCTCCTGGCCCCCGCAAAAAAAAATTAGCGACGCTAAATATTAATAAATAAAAAATCAAGTTGAAATGAGCGACGCGGAGGTGTCCTTCACCTCGGCGCTCTGCGCCGATCTTCTGCTGCTCGTCGTGAGACAGCTAAATATTGCTGTTGTGGAAAGGTGTGACGGCGAACCGGTGAGGCTGGAATGGTCACCCGCGGGAACTTGCCGGGCTCTGCGTGACGTGACCGCACTCGTAGTGCGAGAGCGAGCGTTGCTCAAGCCACCCACCTGGAGCATCTTAAGCCAGCACCACTCAGAGTACGGCTTGGGCGCTCACAGGACGGCTGGCTGCCACGACCCGATGTGGGCTATTTCCACCGAGTACGGCCTGCTTGTTGCAGAGTATGGCAGAGCTGAGCTGAAACTCATCTTGCGGGAGTGTGACGAGCAGCGCACAAAACAGTTGGAATGGCGCCCAACTGGGCTGGCGTGCCGCGGCGATGTCGCTTGGGTCGGCTCAGACTGCGAGCATTGCGTCCACAAGATCTCGTTGCCGGATCTCGCCATCATCTGCCGCTCGGACACCGAGTACGAGGTCATCCAGAGCCCATCTGAGGCCCGCAAGCCCGGCGTCTTCGCTCGTGTTTTCGGCATCGCCGTATGGGACGACAGGCTCTTCGTAACAGATGCGGACAATGGGCGGATCGTAGTTCTCGATGCCGAAACGCTTGGTTGGCGTGGGTCTTTTGGCACCCGCGGCCGCGACTACGGATGCCTTTCTGAGCCGACGGGTGTGACAATTTTCGACGACCCGTCTGTCCTGTGCCCTGAGCCGCTCGTGCTGGTATGTGATCATGGCAACGAATGCTTGTCCTTCTTTCAAGCGAGCGGCCACCCAGCGCAGCCCAATGCATTCATAGAGGAACTGTACTTCCCGCCGTCCTCTGAACAGGGCATGGGCCTATCTCGGCCGTGGGATGTGGCGTACTATAACGGGCGCATTTTAGTGTGCCAGGAGCCACATCCCTTTTATCGCGGAATGCACTTTCAGCCATTTGATCTCGACTACAAGTATGACCATTCTCAGCTCGTCGTGATGCGCTGCGATCCGTGGGAGGAGGTGCCTATCCCAGACGTGCAGCAAGTGCTCATGCTTCCGCGCGAGTCCTACGCGGGCAACCGTCACCTTTCCCTAAGGGGAACTGTCGCATCGGTTTCTGGGTACCTACGCCCCGGCTTCCTCGGGGTCACCATTGATCACCACAATGGCGAGGCGGTAGTCGTCGACTCCTTCGGATCGATTCATGGACTTCACCTTGCCCGCCCCACTGTCTAACCGTTCATTTTCCGTTCTGTGAGGAGGCTCGACTTTTGTTAAGATTAAATAAAAACGCACGCCTCTCGCTGTAGTTCGTGTAGAGATGGAGTAATCGAGATCTCTCCGTACTCCGAGAGACGCAGGTACGGTAGATCGCAGACCAGGAGGGGGGGCAGGAGCCAGGCCACAACACCACGGCACCAGCCAGGACTACACTCTCCTTCGTCTACGAGAGTCAGATCCGGCATCCGGCCCCCTAGGTGCTAGGACGAGACCTGGACGAGGACCTGGACGAGGATTCAGGGGTTGAGGGGGGTTGTCGGAGTCGGTTGAGGTGTGAAGGACGAAAAAAGTGCCTTGCCCTTGGCCTGCTCGAAAAAAATAAAGAAAAACAACCCAAGGGAGGGATTTGAGGGCACGATTGGACTAGAATTCTTTTCGCGGCTCCCGTGGTGTACCTGTGCTAGTGCCAGTGCGCGCCAGTCCCGTGCCCAGTGTCGTGCGAGGGAGTTTTGTTGTAAAATTCTCATGAGCTCGCCTGCGAGCCGCCCTCTCCGTGTGGTACCAGGAAGGGGCCGAGAAGGTGGGGTACGAGGGGGTCGTCACGAGCCTCTTCGCCAAGGGGCTCCGCGTTCGGTTTCTGGGAGCCGACACAGGGATCTACGAGGTCACCAGTGAGGATGAGTGGGCTTGGGGCGGGCTGAAAGAGTGAGTTGCGGGGTAGTCTCCGGGCAGCGCTCGGCGAGGCGACTGCACTCTGCAGCATGCCCCTCCGCGAGCACGCGGAGTGAGAGTGTGTGTCTCTGTCGCATCTGTGTGTGGGGTGCGGGCTGCCGGAGAGAGAGAATTCTTGATACGAAACCACGACGACACACACCAGTCGACTCGCATCGGTTGCCTCCATGAACGGCGGAGCTATTCTCGCGCCCACACCACACCTGGCTCCAACGTGGACACGCCCATAGCTGGGGACACTACTAGGTCACGCATGGCATCACAGAAGTTTTATCTCTGGGCCCCGAAAGGCATCTCTAGCAGTGTCGTTACACATGCCCCCTCCCCTCCTGGGCGCATGCGCCTCACGTCTCGCCAGAGCATAAGCCCTTGGCGTGTGGCGAGACGAGTTTTTCGCCATCGCAGCGAGCAGCAAGCCGCCCGCCGCAAACAGCCGGAGGCATCGCCACGGCACTGGCTGCGCCGCGGTCCCGCACCCGTCGACGCAGCTCCCCCCGCGGAAGACCGCGCGTAGCGACGCCTTGACGATCGAGATGAGCGCGCTCGAGGCTCGCCCACCTACTGCCCCTGAGAGTTGGTTATGAGTGGGCTCGGCTCCCCCCCTTGGGATCGAAGCTTCCACGACCTCACACCCAACACCACAGGCGGGATCAGAAGGGGACTCCACACCGGACACCGCCCGGGCACAGCCCCCCTACCCGTCGGATCGCACAGAGGGCCCCCTCGGAGCAGCCCACACACAATCACGCATCGGCAGATTGAGTGCCTGAGTCAGGCAGACAGCACAGACAAGAGGAGAGAGAGGAGAGAGAGAGAGAGACAGAGGAGAGAGGAGAGGGTGAGGGTGTGAACACACGTGAGGAGTGGGGGAGGGTGTCTGTGGTGGGTTGTAGTCATACTACGTGGTTACAACCACGCGCCCCTCAGGAGCTTAAGGTAGAGCTGAGCGTCCCAGACGCCTCGGTGCCTCCCACCGGGTGAGACCATCCGGATCTACCGGGCGCGCCTCCGGCGGGCCCGTCCCCGCGATGGCCCACGGTCCTCCGTCGCCAGGTCGAACCCCCT